AACATCGAGAGTCATTAAGACCTTTCCTTTTTTCCGATCCTAAATATGCATTTATTTCTCAGAAKGAATTAAAATAAACGTCAACAAAAATGGTGCGTATTTACAGTATTTTCATTCATTCCAAAGCTCTTTGACCGATGATAAAGAATGACAAACTAACCGAATGGGTAGGATYACCATTATTTATGCGAAGCACTGGTGGCGTGCGCTGCTAATGCGTCGCCTCTCACCAAAGCGACCCCAATCTCGTACCCAGATCCTGCGTTTCAGAGCCCTCGTTCTTCGCCGCACGCCAGAAGAAACGCAAGCTCTCGGTACGAGATTGATGCGGCCCGAKTTCGAGTCCTACCGATCTCGACGTCGTTATGTGAGTAGAGTTGTTTGTTGGTTCTCTCCTGTGCTTCGAGGGTTTTTTTCCGGGTTCTCCGGTTTTCCTCCCTCCTCAAAAATCAACTTCTAAATTCTAATTCGATCTCTGGGCTTTCACTTAGTTTGGAGCTCTGTTGTGATTGTCCCATGGTGTGATACAACAGCCAAAGCTTAATATATTTTTTTATTGCTTTAAAGAAAAGGAGGTTTAATTTTCTTTTTTCTTTCTTTTTTTTTTTTAAAAGGCCATTTGCATTTCTCCTGCATTCCCCTCCTTTTTCAAAATGAATGCTCTCTCTGATGTCGATTGCCGCGAAATTTCAATTTCAAAGTTGCCGCAAGACAGGAAAGAGCAAAAGCGTCTGGCCAAAAAATTTCCTGTTCTTGTCTTTTTGTGAAATGCCCTAAGGGGATGTTAAGGTGCTCTTTCATCTAAAAATAAATCATTTTCTAATAGTTCTAATTCATGTAGGTGCATTGAGAGCGCGGCGCGCAAAGCATGATTGGACAAAATGACCGGCCTTTAGCTTAAAAGAACGAAGCAAACATGGCAGTAAAGTTAAATTGTTTTTATTCTTCCTTTCCATATTTCTGCTTCTTGTTGGCATGTATATTATATTTTAGTCGAAAGAAAACAGACAATACGCAAAAGTTGGGTTACAGAAGCCTTGGAATAAGAACCAACGGCAAAACAGATAAAAGCTGTGATTGGTTTAAGCAAAATTCACCGCTCAGCTGGAGAGAAGCAGTAGCCAAAAATAGATAATTATCAAAATGCGAAAAAAATAGTTAAAAAAGTGAATCGCATGAATATTGTTCAATTTTGATCGGTTGTAAAAGGCCTAGGGGTTCTTTACGATGACATTAAAAACTTTATCAATTATAATGATCAAGTTTCTCTTTAAAAATAAGCCACTTACAGCCTCAAGGTCATCTCCGCTTTGATCCATTTTTATTACTCATTTAAACTCACATTTCTTCTTAAATTGAAGAGCTTTAAAATTTCTATTTTTGTCTTCTAAGTCTTTATTTAGCAATTTGCAGTGTCTGTTGAGTTTTCTATTTCTATTTATAAAAGCCGGAAAATCATAATATCCTGCTCTCGAATTCAAATCACGTCACGCCATGTTTATATTTATATTTAAATAATTTAGCATTCGGTTTTTTTTTCTGTCCTTTTCTCTCCTTTTTAGCTTCTTATATTATAAATATCTTTTCAAAAGAAACAATGATAACGATAATGAAAATTACTAACATGGAAAAGTTGAAACTTTGTTATGTTCGAAACTTTACTAGACTTATAAAAAATGCTATCACTATTATTATTATTGTTATTATTATTATTATTATTATTATTATTATCATTATATATA